ACCAGAAACAATCGCATATCTATTCAATTTTATAAAACCAGTTTTACAAAATAACAACACAGTTTTTATAAACCACAAGTGTAACAAGAATAAGATAGCGTCTAACTTCTGTGCATAAAGATAGTTCTCTAATACTAATATCCTCATACTCTCTAATTTCAGATGTAATACTCCCACTGACTTAGCTACAACCTTGACATCAGGTCAAGTACAAATATATTCCATATCACCGAGGCTTCGGGATTCCTGAAATCCTTGCAACGAATTGCAAAAATGTTTAGTGGCTCCAGAATCTATCCATCAGGAATTAATAGATACAACCACATAACATGGCTCAATGATTAAATATATATTTTCCTATGCCACGTCATTGCTTAGACAGTTCATCCTTTAGTGTTTTCGTTAGCAGTAAAAAAAATAATTTAATTTGCCCTCAACATACACTGCCTTATTCCCTTTAACTTTCTGGATACCCATATTTTGTGCTAGCCTAGTCCTATTATCATCCTTCTTCTTTGCTTTGCCTGTCCACTTAGGCCTAGAAGAAGATGGTATAGACTAGGTTAGATTGATAGGAACGCCCATACTCTTGATTATCCCTTCATCTGTTACCAATTCTATAAGAATATCAGCGAGTGTGAACTCAAACTGATTCCTTATTTAGTTCACTCTAACAGAGTCGAACGAGTTTGGTAACAAGGCAATAATCATGTCAACTTGAAACTTATCACCCAAGTCAACCATATTGATCTCCAGCTAATTTTTAAATAATAAACAATCATTTTCCAAAAATTCAATTTCATACTGGAGTTCCTTAGGCTATCTTGATGGTATTAAATTTGACACAGTACTTAGGCATATCATCTATCTAATCTCACCAAAACATCTCATTGACATTTTACATGATGCTTGAAGAAAATAAAATAATTTAAATGTTAGCTTTGGAGCACATTCGAGATAAATTCTAGAATATTGCACCAAGTCATATCATTTGCCTTATCTAATTTATTAAAAACATTAATGTCAAATTCGGTATCTTAAAGTAAAAGGATTAGGTTTAGGAGTAATAAATACATTTTGTACCACCACGTTGTGAATAAAATATTTAAGTTCCTTTTCCAGTCATTATAAATGAGGTCCAATATCATAGAATATGTAAGTAAACAGATAATATGGATTAGACATAACTAATCTGAATATAAATGCATTCATACAATATGCAAGTTGAATTATTAATACTGTCATGCATATTTAAAATTAAAATGAGTTTGTTAACCACATAATATAATAAATCTCAATCGAACAAGAGATCATTATCATTATTGGTGAACAATCCCTTTTAATTAATGCGGGTCCCTCAACTCTGTAGCATAATAAATCAACCAATCAATATGTCAATAACTTATCCTGTTGGAGGAGTTCATTATTACTATTGTTAAGATTCATTTACTATTAGGCGAGCACTTCCATTAAAATAGTATATGGGTCCCTTAACCACTGCATGAAAAATCAGATGACCAATACGCCAATAACTTATTCGGTTGGTGAAGTTCATTATTGTTATTGGCGGGTAAATCCCATCATCTCCATATCTCTTAAGACAATGCCTTGTCTATCTATATGAAATGATTCCCGATTATGCTTAGCCTTTCTAAAATCACCTAGTGTAGACCACTCCGTTGGGGAGCTAACACTATTGATTTTAGATTGAGTGTATAACGTTATTAATGCTCTAATGAAAAATAAAACATTAAATATCTTGTCATTATAATCTAGACTCTTTAAATCATGCGTAGGGCCTTATTTTTAAAGATCTAATTACAATGAACATTTAATATTAATATTTTCATGACACAACCATTATTGTAATATTAAGACTCTTCAAATGATGCATGGGGCCTTATTTTTGAAGATCTAATTACAATGGTTTTAATAACGAAGGCCAAGGGGTAATGTAAAAAAAAAACCCCCGCTCCCACTCAATTTTTAATCATTCATAATTGGGGTTTTAGATTTATTCATTTATATGATATAATGAATGCAAAACATCTTGATTTTAATCCAATTAAATTTAGAAAATAATTGAACTTTTAAATGATTCACTAATATTTAATTGGAGGCACATTTAAAAATAATTTACAAAAATAATTTTTCCGTTTCCCAATAAGTACCCTTTAATTAATTAGTAATCAAATCCAATTAATTTTCATAACTTAATTAATATAAATCAAACCATTTAAATAAATATCACGGATCCAATGCATGAATAATAATTAATTAACAATTATATATTCCATGCATTTCATATATCGCATAAATAAATAAATGACAGATAAAGCAAATAAAATGGCCAATGGAATCAATTTTTAACATTTAATTACTCTAAGTATTGCGGGAAGGTCATCCATCGGCTTGCAAACACTCATTGGAGGCTAGTACGCACCGGGAGAAGCAAAACGGCGGTCTGAATGTGCCCGAATGGTCTTACACGCGCCAACACGCGCTTACCACGCACCTTCCAACCTCTCCACACGCCTGGACTCGTCTCTAGAGGTCTCCAGCTCGTGCCATGCGCTCCCACGGGGCTGCACGCGCTGGGAGAATGCTGAAGCGCGTGCCACGCGCTCCTACGCGCAGGCACGCGCGTGTGCGAATTGCCAGCGCGTTCCACTCGCTAGCACGCGCCATGCGCGCTGACTTGGTTCCGGCGCGTGCCATACACGCGCCTTGCTACTGGTGGTGCATGGACCATCTTCCAGCCGCGTTCCACTGGATCTTTCCCTCGCTGAACTTTGATCCGACGGTTACTGATGCGCGCTCATGTATACCACACCACACCGGATCATCCGTCCACCTTCCGGAGCCGTCCCTTGCCGCCGGCCATACTCCGGTCGCCGGAAAATCGCCGATAATTCCAGAAAAATATTTTAAAAATCCAAAAAATTAAGTTTAAGCCCAAAAAATTCCAGAAAAATTCTGAAAAATTCCGAAAAAATTCCAAAAAATTCCTGAAGCCTAATTTAACCCTTTTAGACCTTCTTGAAATTTTATAGTATCCTTTGATGAAGATTACATGGCTTTAAAAATATTTACAATTTGAAATACAAGGGAAAAAATTAAATTACATCATTGAATTTTCAAACGGCTAAATCAAAGCCTTAATTACATTTATTCAAAGATACAATTACATTCAATTAACCGATAAGCTTCATCCATGGCCCAAACACACATCATCATCCATTCACAATTATACATACATCATCATGTATCAATATATTAAACCATACATCAACATACATCAATATATATATATAATTTGGATCCATGATGATGATTTTGATAAAATCATGATCTCTAGTAATGAATCAAACCATGCTCTGATACCACTGTTGGGAAACGTGTAAGTTTTAAAAACTTTTCGAGGGATTTAAATTCATAGATCTTGATTCATCACATAGAGACAAGTTTTATGCAAAAATAAAACATGATGTATTATTCAATTAAAAGATTGAATACTTACATCTAGGTTTGAGTAAACCTTAGATCTCTCCTCTAAAGTGAATGTTCTCACTTATTGTAGATCCCTTTTGCTAGACACCTTTTCCATGGATCTCCATCTTCTTAGTAATGGTCTTGCCTTTAAGAATCACTCATAAGCCTCCATGAATGACCTTGGAAAACTAGGCTTGTGGGAGCCTCCATTAGATGAGAACACTAACCCTAATTTTCTAGAGAGAGAAAATTTATTCTTTTTTCCTTCTTCTAAAAATTACCCCTAAAATATTCGTAGTCCATGTATATTTATAGGTAACATAAAGGTAAAGAAAAGGAAACAACAAATTCTTCTCAATCTCTAATTCACATGTATTAAATCTAATATGATTCCAATATCAAGTTGGAATATGAGTGAGAATCCATTGGGCCTATTATTTTATTGGCTACAATGAATTAATAATTGGCCCGATCCATGGACCCAATTCAATTAATTCATAAATTAATTTCTACTCCACTAAAAGAAATTAATTGAACTCCAATTAAATAATAAATAACCACTAAGTCAATATTGCACTTTGACCCCTCTATGCATAATTAGTTATCGGATAAATAAAGCCATCAATCCGACTACTTAATTAATATATTTATTTTGGTACCATTGATTATTTCTGGCTCGATCACAATAAAACATTTGTTTGACAAAAATAATAATTTAAATAAATAAATATATAATAAATCATTTTGTCTAAAAACATACGAAGGCCTTCGAATTTACTTTGTGATCAACCATAATCAATACAAAATAAATACAAGTAGCAATGATGCAAATATTGAAAATATAAACCTCTAACTATTAATTACATAATTACCTAAAGTATCGGTCTAAGGATCCTGAAGAATCCGCCGAACAAATCAAATTAATTATTAATTAATAAAAGAGTCTATAATTTTCTCATGCTTAAGAGTCAAATGTTATGACGGTGATAGGGAGTAATTGCATACGACGACTCTCGCAATATATCTCAACGTAACGCGGATCCAGTTCAAGTCTTAATCAATTATGAGTCCATCCATAATTACCGACTATGAACCATTTATGATTATTATTTATATTCATGTATTGATCGCCATCACATACATATATAAATATCTCTTGTAATCTAGTGAACACTATCAATTTTATAATGAATCGAAATATAATACATTGAATTCACCAATTATATAAAACATAAATATTTCAGAAACGTCAGGAACTTATGTCACTTTAATCCAAATAGGAATTTGCTATGCCAGGGCATATAAATCCCAACAGTATATTCATCGACGGTGTTTCAGTCAATTTGAAGTTTGATTCTTTTTTTTTCTAATTATGGACATGATTTTAGTATTGTATACTTTCATTAATTAGCAAATATTATTGCTGCAAAAAGTAAAAACACAGACATAAAACTTCATTATCCATATCAAAATCAATTTATATATCAAAATCACACACAGTAGAAACTCTAATTATTAATGAACGCAAAATCAAACTCAATGAAGTCAAAATCTAGAATATCGATAAAAGGATCAACAGAAGAATAAGCACTCAACATGGCCATCTCATTGGATGAACAAGCACTCGCCGTGGTCATCTCATTGGCCCGAGCTACCACGTTTTCCCTCAAACCTTTAAGTGCAGTCATGTACTCCTCAAGCTCATTCAACCCTAATTCATCAACCCCTGCGTCCCACCAAAGCCTATCTGAATCGTCCATCACTTTTTCTTCTTCATCTTTCTTGCCCATACACAAGACTTCCTGCTTATGATGATCACTTGGGTTTTGGAAGAGAAAGTGGTTGAGGACGGCGTCCACGGACAGGGTTCCGAAGGAATGAATCCTTTCGGCGAAGGGGGACTTGACGACGATCACAACATTGGCACCATACAATGCACTTAGCTGAGCAGCCTTCTTGAAGAGTCCGCCCCTGCGCTTGGAGAAAGAAACCATTAGATTGTTTGTCTTCTCTATTTTCTTGATTTCGATCTTTCTGCGCCCCATACTTTTCTTCTTTTCCTTGTTCTCCATCAAGCAACTTGCACTCAGTTTGGTAACACACTAATCTAAATATAGAAGCAAAGTATAAAAAGAAGGTATAATTTCAATGAGATTTGGCCAAAAATAACTATCACCAATGTTATAAATTATTGTTATGTTTTTTACACACACCTAACAGTTAGTTAAACAGTTCTGACAATATATAAAATGACTTGAATACCTTTTAACTTTGTCAAAACTACTCTTTAACCTAAACAATTGACTAAAAAGACTAAAATATTTTTAAAATTTTGTAAATTTACAAATTATATATATATATATATATGTATTTTACAGACATATATACTCCTCTCTCTCTCCACCACTGTACCTTTCTCTCTCCACCACCACCGTTCCTCTCTTTCCACCACCACCACCACCACCACCACCACCATCACCATCACCATCACCGTTCCTCTCTGTCGACCACCACAACACTGTTCCTCTTTCTCCCCACCACCACCACTGATTCTATAACCCAACCACCAAAATTAAAACAGGAAAATGCCATCATGGCCACTGGAGATGCCGACTTTGTTTTGTGAAATTAGGTGATTCAATCAGTGAAAAAAAAAAAATTAGGTTCAATCAAGATGTGTGTGAATGTGTTTTTAATTTGATACCAAAATTAATTCTTATTTTATTTTTTTCATGTTACCTATGGCTATTGCTATCTGGGGTACTTCTTCGTTCAATTTATTAGTTATATTTGTGTGCTAATAGTAATAGATAAATTTACCAATATTTGAATAGGAACTACTTTGAATTGGACAGTATATTCTGTTGGTGAACTTAATCATAATTATTGATACATATTTACAGTTTATAGTTTTCTAATTTCTCAACCTGTTAATTTGAATAGGAAAATGATACTAGTCATGACAAGTCTTCTAAATTTTGTAATGCATGAGTTGAAAGAGGGATTTACATGATGTATTAATTACTAATATCTAAAGTGGTATAGATTATTGGGCTTGTTGGTTAGACCTGAGGCCTGAGCTTAGTTTGACAATGGTGGTTGTGGAAGTGGGATGCAATGGTGGTTGTGAAGGTGGAGATGAGGGATATAATGGTTATTTAAGTAATTTGATATTTGGTGATAAATGAAATTAAAAGATTAGGGGTAAAATTGCCTTTTTACATATTTTTAATGGAAACTGTCTATGTGATAGTTAGAAATTTGGAGTGTAGTGAAATTAACCTAAAAGAAAGAAGAGATGTTTTCCATCTATATATAATGGTAGCATGGGAAGTAAAAATAAATCAACTCCACTTGTAACTAGGATTAAAAAAATACTCCATAACTAGGATTAAAAAAAAAAGGGTAAACTAGAATAACCTCACGCAAGGTTTGGTCTAATTGCCAAAAAAAAATTAAAATTTGTCAATTTTTTTGCAAAACCCCCCTATGTCATATTTTGTGATGACTTGACTTATTTACCCTCATTATTATATAGTTAAATTGTTTAAAATATATGGGCATGTTAAATGACACTTTTGCCCAATAAAATATATTTTTTTGTTTGTTTGTTTCTTTTCTTTTTATTTTTCCTTTTCCTTTTCCTTTTCCCAGTATTCCCCTCCTTCTCTCTCCCTTCTTTTGCTCTCCTCTCCACGGTCCACCATCGCCACTACACCACCACCACCTCCCTTTAACCACACTGATTGAAAATTGGGATCCAGTTTTCACATATCTGACAACCACCGGCCGCCACCGCACCACCATCCCATCGCTGTAAGCCTATAACTGCCACACCATTCCTACCTCACAACCACCAGCGGCGCCACCTCCGCCAACCAACACCAGCAGAAACGCCTCTACCACATTATTCTACCCCCTGAGGTCAGATAACCGACAGGGCTCTGCTGATTGAATTCACAACCTCTTACAACACGACGCCGACGACAGCCGTTGGGAAGGAAAATGGAATCCTAATAAAACGTCGGTACGGTCGGTTCAGTTTTAGGATTCCGGCCGAAATCCATTCTATGACATAAGAAAGTTCTTGAATCACTGATAAGGAAAGGTAGGGCAGATTCTGTTCGCATCCTTCGGCCCTGAATTGCTGCTTCAACCACTCACCGGCTGTACTACTTTAATTGGTGATTCTCAACCATCTGAATTTACCAAATCTTCACTAATGTGATGTGGGTTTGGGTTTAATATTTGGGTTGCAGCTTGATGGGTGTAAGCGCTGGTTTCACGCCGCCGGCGTCTCTCTCTTACGAGCTTCGGCACTTATGGAGCCGTCGTCTGTGGACGAGAAGAATAAGAAGCAAGACGAAGAGAATGAAGAAGACGACGATTGTTTGTTGTATATTTTCACGATCATTCCACAAATTCACGGCCAAAAGGCTAGTGAAGTCAGACCCAGATATACAACAATGGTTTGTACATTGTACCCAATTGGGAAGTAATGGGTATGCTCTCACAGGTTTGCAATGAAGCTGGCACTTCTCATGCTTCACAATTAAAATCCCAGAGCATCCTCCTCGATCCTCATCTTCTCGTTTACCTTCATTACAGGTAATAACGTAATATTGATTTATCCTCATGTCTCCACTTTTAGTCTTCTCCCATTCCTTTTGTTTTCTCTTCTCATTCATCAATTAATCTCTCTTAGACATGTACAGTGGAACGACCCGCTCCACCATATGGTGCACAGTCCCACATCGCCTGGGTAGAGAAAATGTGAAGTGCTTATATGTAAGTGTGTCATCTCCAATTGGTATGAGGCCTTTTGGGGTGAAGTTCAAGAGCAAAACCGTGCGGGCTCAAGTCCAAAGCGGACAATATCATACCATGTGGTGGAGTGGATCGTTACAAATGGTATCAGAGCCTGACCCAGCCGGAAGTGTGCTGACGGGGACGTCGAGCCTCCAAGGGGGGTGGATTGTGATAAACTTATGGGCGGGTGTGCTGTGGGTGGGTGCGAGAGACACTGACAGGCTACCACACTGGCGAGTTACGGGTGCACAAGTCCCACATCGCTTGGGTAAAGGAAAAGTGAAGTGCTTATATGTAAGTGTGTCATTTCTAATTGGTATGAAGCCTTTTGGGGTGAAGCCCAAGAGCAAAAACCGTGCGGGCTTAGGCCCAAAGCGGACAATATCATACCATGTGGTGGAGTGGGTCGTTACAAATGGTATCAGAGCCTGACCCAGCCGGAAGTGTGCCGACGGGGACGTCAGGCCTCCAAGGGGGGTGGATTGTGATGACCCTGTGGGCGGGTGCAAGAGATATTGTCAAGCTACCACAATGGCGAGCTACGGGTGCACAGTCCCACATTGTCTAGGTAGAGGAAATGTGAAGTGCTTATATGTAAGTGTGTCACCTCCAATTGGTATGAGGCCTTTTGGGGTGAAGCCCAAGAGCAAAATCGTGCGGGCTCAGGCCCAAAGCGGACAATATCATACCATGTAGTGGAGTGGGTCGTTACATACGGTGGGTAAATTTCCATCATATTGCTTACACAAGCTTTTCCTCCCTTTGTCTGGTCTAATTCTATTTAACACTATATATGCAAAACTGTAAATAACCTATATCCAACCCTATATTTTGCTACTAGATCCTAGAGAATTGATTTGTGACACCTTAAATTTTTACTCCCTCCATCCCGAATTAAGTGTCACCTTTGGTATTTGTGACTCACATTTGAGTCACAAATACCAAAGGTGACACTTAATTCGGGACGGAGGGAGTAATATTTTATCTATATTTGTTCTGTATAGGGTATAAAGGAAGTTCTTTTCTTTTCCTGGTGAGGTCTAATTTGATTTCAGACTGTAAAATATTTTTTTTGAAAAATAATTTTTTTTTAGATAAAAGATTTTTATTTTTTTGGTGTTTGGCGAAAGTTTACCTCAAGATTGAGGTTCTGAAAATTGATGGATAAATAATTTTTATTAAATTTTAATATTTTTTTCTTCTTTATAACAACCAAATACCTTGACATCCAAACAAAAGAAGCCTAAATGTTGTTTTGCTTTCACTTATTACTTGATTGGTCCCTGGTTTTGCCTTGAATTTTTTAATGAGGCTAATTGATGTTTTGAGTCCATTTATGGTTGCATGTGGGGTAGAGGGCCAACTGATGCAAATGAGAACAACAACTTAACCCAACTTCAGTGATAAGCTGCATTACTTGAACAAGGAAGGTCACTTGCTGAGATAGGTTTTGAAGGTCACTTGCTGAGATGGGTTTTGAAGGTCACTTGCTGAGATGGCATTACTTCATCAAGTTATGAAGATTACTGTAATGGTGACTTGAGAAACAAAAATTTAATGATGTGTTAATGTTTGATGAATTTTGATGTCAAAACACTGGGGAGATATGAAGGCCTAGTATTTTTTGATATATGAAACTAATGTTTTTGTGAATCTAAATTTGTTTGAATTGTTGTTTAAATTATCCATGTACATGTATTTATTTTTGTAAATTGAAAAACTGTGCATTAGGTGTGAGGCATTTGGGTTGGCCTCTGGACTAGAGATTTAACAAATCTGAGAATAAACTGAAGCATAACAATTTTTTTTCAAAAAACAATAGTCCACTAGTAACAAAAATTTTTTACAACTATATCCTATTATTATTTTTTTTTTATACGTACTACCTTCCTTACCCAAAAAGAAAAAGAAAAAGAAAATATATATATATATATATATATATATATATATATATATATATATATATTTGCCCTTTCTAGCTTATACCCTCTGCCTTTGATTTTATAATTGGAATCAATTATATCTTTAAAAAAAATTATAAAAAAAAAACATATAATTGTAACTACCGCAAAAAGAAACTACAAAGTCATTTCAAGAATTAAAGGAAAATTTATTTAAATTTAATTTCATCAAAATAATATGAATTTTTACCCTCATATTAAACTATAATAAAAAAATTAGTCAAATTTCAACAAAGTAACGAGTAGGTCCCTATGGTTAATTGAACTTTAACTTTGCCATGATAATTTTTTCAATCTCAAAA